TAGCTCCAGCCCCATTAAGAGGATATATTGTAGAAAATTGGAAATATTCTTGCACCTGGATGTATGGAGAACCTGTGGCTCTTAATTATTTCAGTTATTCCTATTAATCATATATGTTACTTTAATATACTTTGAAATATTTCTGATTCAAATCCCAATGCTTTGAAGGAGTGTTTTTGTTTGTTTTTAAGAAAATAAAAAGGACAGAAAAAATAGTACAGGAGTTAAGATGGTTGCTTTGCATGTTCCTAAACCTACTTAGATTCCTGGCACTGGATAAGTCTCCTTGAATACTGGCAGATATAATCCCTTAGTACAGATCTAGGAGTGAGCCTGAGCATTTCTTGGTGTGACTCATCACTTAATCACTTAACTTCCCGTTAGTCTTCGATTTGCTCGAGCGGGCGCCAGTAACGTCTCCATTTGTCCCTGTCGTGTGCTAGTGTAGCCCAATGGCATCTGTTCGCTCTGGGAACATGAAGAGCCTCAAACCGAACGTTCATGATCTTGACGAAGAAGTCTGACCACCTGGTAGGTGGGCGGCCACGCGATCTTTTGACATCCCGTGGAATCCAGTCAGTAACAGCTCTAGTCCAGCGGTCGTCTTTAAATCTCATTACGTGACCAGCCCATCTGATTTTTGACACCTTGGCAAATGAGACAGTGTCCCTGATTCTTGATCGTCGAGGGATGTCAGAACTCCGGATTATTTCTCTCATTTGAGTGAAACGTGATATTCCAAGAATAGCTTTTTCTATTCTTCTTTGGGAGACCTGAATAGTGTTCTCATCCTGTTTGCGTAGGGCCCAGGTCTCTGAGGCATATGTTAACGCAGGAAGAACAGTGGAATCAAAGAGATGTGCCCGGAGCCGGAGGTTCTTCGTCCTCTTAGCTATTTCTTCGACGTTCTTGAAGGCGTTCCAAGCTGCTCTCTTCCTCCTGTGCAGCTCGGGTGCCAGGTCATTTGTCATGTTGACCTCTCGACCTAGGTACACGTAGCTGTTGCATTCGGAGATGGTCGTTCCGTTGAGAGTGAATGGGGCATCAGGAACAAGGCTGTTTCTCATAAACATTGTCTTCGTAAGATTCAGCTGTAATCCTACCTTTCCACACTCACGGTCAAAGTCGGCCAGCATTTGTGCCACTTGGCTGATGTTTGGTGTTATTAAAACAACGTCATCAGCAAAGTGGAGGTGGTGTAGTTGCCGACCATCTATCTTCACTCCCATGCTTTCCCATTCCAGTCGTCGCATGATGTTCTTGAGGGTGGCACTGAAGAGTTTTGGTGAAATGGTATCACCCTGCCGCACCCCTCTCTTGACATCAACGATCACTTCTTTGTAGAATGGTGAGATCCTGGTAGTGAATCCGCAATACAGCTCACGGAGGATCCTGATGTATTGGGCTTGAATGCCCTGATTGGCTAGGGCTTCAATGACCGCTTCCGTCTCAACAGAATCAAAGGCCTTCTGTAAACCAATGAACGTTAAACAGAGCGGCATCTTGAACTCCCGAGAAACCTCAATGAGCTTGGTTATCGTGTGGATATGGTTGATGGTGCTGAATCCTTTGCGGAACCCGGCTTGCTCGCATGATTGTCCTTCATCTAGTGTTCTGCCAATCCTTTTTAGGATGACTCGAGTGAACAATTTGTAGATGACAGACAATGGGCAGATCAGGCGATAGTTGCCAATGTCATGAATGTCTCCCTTCTTGAACAGTAGTACGGTCCTGCTGGTTTTCCACTGGGACGGAACCTTGCATTCAGACAGGTAGCGAGTGAAGAGCCGAGCCAGTGTATTGATGAGTACTGACGGCAGGTTTTTCAGGTGTTCAGGTCTGACTTTGTCTGGGCCGGGTGCTGTTTGTATCTTTACCGATGAAATGGCGTGTCGGATTTCGGAAGGGAGAACGTTGGGAATGACATATCCATCCTGTGGAATTTGGTATGTCGGCAAGTGGACATGGCTATTGAGGCGATTTGAGTAGAAGTCATGGATAATCTTCTCCATTGCCGTTCTGGAGGATGTGATGGATCCATCAGGACGTCGGAGGGCAGTCATCTTGGTCTTGTAGTTGGCGAAGGACAGGCGGGCATTACGAATACTTTTCCCAGCTTCTGTGGCATCTACCAGCACTTCTGCTCTTCGCTCTTTGAGGTCTTCCTTGATCGCATCTCTGCACTGCTTTTCGAGCTCGGACATTAGCTTGCGGTGGCCCGTGGCATGCGCCAATCCACGCTGGCGAATTAGCTCAAGAGTTTTCGAATACAGGTGTTTTTTTGTGGCTATCTCTCTCTTGGCGTTCCTCGCACATTCATGGAGGTGCTGAACCAGTCGATCGTATTCCTCGTCAATGTTGTCAACAATGGCATCTTCCCATGTTGCTGCAATAGTGCCAAAGAGTTCCCAGTTGGTGGTCGTTCTGGGAGTTCTCTTTTTGAACTTTCCAGCCCTTTCTCCCTGCTCTGTGAAGTAGAATTTTGCACGAAGGAGACGGTGGTCCGATCCCGTTTGAAATTTTGGGACAACAGCGACATCAGTCAGGCAAAACCGTCGATTGAATATGATGTGGTCTATTTCGTTGTGGAATCGTCCACCGGGAGACTCCCATGTCCAACGTTTAGATTCTGCCTTCTGGAACTGTGAGTTACTATGGATGGTCTTGGTCGACAAGATGAACTCAGACAGTCTCTCACCCTATTCGTTGCATTCTAGGCCATAGATCCCGATGTGAAGTTCTTCAGCTGATCTTCTCAGTCCTATCTTGGCAATAAAATCACCCACAATGATCTTATAGAAGGTGTGGTCTTCTTTATAGAACTTCTCCAGCTCCATGTAGAACTTCTCGATTTCTCTTTCATCATAACGAGATGTTGGTGAAGATGTTGTCACTGCGTAGACAGTGAAGATAGAAAGGCCAAGGTGCTGGCGCTGCACCCCGAGGACCACAGTGTGACTCATAAGCAAACAAATAAATACATTTTAGTGAAAAATATGTAAAACTAAAAATAATTTTAAAATAATTCTAATATTTATCTGGCATTTTTAGTTTCACTTGACCTAGACTGTATTGCATTATTTAATTTAATCCTCACACATTATATTTTATATACATACATATATTTTAATGAATCATGATAGTTTTTATTGGAAAAAATTTGCTTAGAAAGAATTAAGCGGAGGTAAAGATGAAGTACTCATCCAAGAGAGTACATGAACTTCTCCAGACTGAAAAATAATTAAGAAACATAAAGATAAGCAAATGAGATGCATATTAAAAGGAGAACATACGCTTGAAAAGGCTAGTCTTGAATGACTTTCAAGAAGTTCTTTTTTGCACCTCCAATGAGGATCATACTAGAATCCAGTTAGCTGGCTTATATCAGAATGGCATGTGAATTGCATTGCTTTTGAATTTTGAGTTAATTTTAAAATAAACACATTTTAAAATAAAAATCACCACCAAGCAAGTCAGTTGCTGCTCTTAGTTTCAGTGTCCTTCCTTAAAAATATCTTTTCAATGAGTCTTTGTGGAGATAGTCTCTGAAAAGTCACTCCATGAGGACTTCAGCTGGAAAGTCACATTGAGTAAATTATTCATTATCACATATTTTCTTCAGTTGCTGCAAACTATTACTGAAGATTCAACCTTTTCTTCCACAAGAACCATTACCCTTCACTGAAGAAGGTTGCATATTCTTTATTGTGCCTCCCACAAAGACTGGATTTCAATTTATCTGACTTCAGATGATTTCAGACTCAGTCACTGAACACAACAGAGACTGTGAGTCAGAACTGCCAGGTTGGGCACAGGCCACCTTCAGAGATGAGAACAGATTGTAGTTTTGAGCTCAGGTTCAGACAAGTGTGCACAGATGTATATAACTGGAATATCCACTTTTTCAAAACTATACCCTCCCCCTTGCCCTTTTTATAGTATGTATTGGTGTTGTTAAAGGGCACACAAATAGTACCTTATACTGTTCCAGGTGTTAAAACATGAGAATCTCTCAATATTTCTCTTTTTAGCAACAATAAAAATCCCTTTATTTGACATTTCACTTGAGTTTTTGTTTATCTCACAAACGTTCAAAACCCATAAAAGTAAATATACTTGTGGCTGTTCAAGAGACAACATCCAAGATGTGATGAGAATTCTAGTTTGGCCAGTATCATCACTTATATTTCTGAAATTTATTTTTGCATATTGTGTATTCTTTCAAATGCATTGGTTTTTTTGATCTTGCGAAGTCTCTCTTGTTCTCATCTTCACTTTTTCTTATACAATTACTAGTATTTTGCCTATTGTATGGCGTTTTTATATTTAGAAGCTTTTGATGTGGCTTCCCTTCCTTCCTTCCTTCCTTCCTTCCTTCCTTCCTTCCTTCCTTCCTTCCTTCCTTCCTTCCTTCCTTCCTCCTTTCTTTCCTTTTCTCTTTCTCCCTTTCTCTTTCTTTCTTCTTTTGCAAACGCCTGCTTTCTAGGCAAATAAGTAGCCCAGTGTAACTATCATAAATGATTCAAGGTCTCAGTAGATACAATACAAAAGTCAACTGTGACATGCTATCTTAAGGAGCATAGCATACTAAGGACCATTAAGGAGTAAAACTATGTATGCTATTGGATAAGCATACATGTTCATAGTTTCCATATTTAAGTTTAAGAGGAAAATGTCTCTGCATCACCCAGTGCTTCCCTCTTAGAACTGAGACCAGAGACAGTTCTATGTCCGTGTTTACAGAACGGACTTTCAGAACATCCTCCTTTGCGCTCAGATTTAATAATCGGCCTCAAAACATGAGAAAGCCGAAATTTACTAGCAGCTCTGGAGATGTTCTGGGATTTATTTATAGTTGACAAGTTTTCCACTCCCAGGCCCAGGAAATTCAGCACAACACCCACCCACACTGCGGCACTTGGATGCACCAGCGATGTGGGGTTATTCCGCAAGTAGCCACTAAGGGGAGCCGGACGCTGGACCGCCCTGCAGTGTTGCCCTGACAACAGCGGCGCGCAGCTTTATGAGCGAAGTGCGGGCTAAAGCAGGTGTCGGGTTGCAGAGCGCTGGCCGGGGCTCCGGGATTGCGTGGAACCTGGAAGCGTCTAAAAGAGTCGGGCTACTGTTACTCCGCCTCTCTCTCTCCGACAGCTTCCGAACCCGGAAACTCGCAGGGTGAAAATGGTCCATCATTCAGGCTCGATTCAGTCCTTTAAACAGCAAAAAGGTCAGTTGGAACCCTGGTCCCCCTCCACGCGGGCGTCATGTCCACCCTCTTCATGCCCTTGCAGTTATGTGGGAACATCCTATGCAGGTTCACCCGAGGCAGAGGTGGGGAACTTTTTTTTTTTTTTTAACTGCCTCTTCACTTTGCATCAGAGATGACTGATTTCTGAGCCTCCGCGGTCCCTAGGAGAAGCTGGATTCGTCATTTCTGGGAATTGGTTTAATGGGTGTCTCTCCTAAGACTGTTTCAGTGCATTGCAGTAAACTCGTTTAGTAGAGGTTGCCCTGCCTGGTCCATGGCGCTCTAAGGTTTGGAGACAAAAATATTGGACCACGTTTGCCCCAGTCTGTGATTCCAGTTACGATGAAGTTTCACCCTAGTGGATTCTTTTTCCAGATATTTTTACACACAAACCTGCGAGCTAGAATTTTTGGAGACTTTCAAGAGCTGGCCTGTTGAAAAGGCTCCAAAACTTTATTGGGAAACTTTGGTTTTTGTCTGTGCGCTATTCCTGATTCTTCCTTTTCAGGTTTTATTGTTAGGTTGCACTTTAGGGAATTTATGTGATCTCTTTGCAGCTTCTTCAAGTTTTCCCCGGTGCAGTGACCAGTCTGTATTTTCAAAGTCAAATCAAGAAAATTTCAAAGACCTCCTCACTTTTTGGTGTTTGTTTTTAAATTTTGTTTAAACAGAATTTTATAAAGCACATTTATTTTGAAACTGGTATTGAATATCAGTCTAGATCCTATGAAAGGATCAAGCGTATCTAATTTAATTTAGAATCTCAGAGATCTGATCATTCCTTAATTTCATCTGTCTGTTTCTTTGCTTCAGTGGGAGAATTCTAGCTCCCCATTTGATACTTTCCCAGTCAAGTATTTTAAAATATAAAAAGAATATATAGATAGTTCAATCCAGGAAAGCAACACATGATTCTAGAATTTTAGTTTATTATCAATGTTATGACATTTGTCTAAATCAATTATCTTTTAAATGATATTTTATTAGATTTTAAAAGGTAATTATGCCACAGTTGACTAAATTGGTGCCTAACATGTGTGACTTCTTTAATGATAAATTTACTCATTTAAACTTAGATGTTTACTTAGTACTTCTACTTTTGCCCTCCGCATGGCTGATGTTACCCACTTTCCTTTCCAAAAATTATTTCTATGTAAATCTTTTCTTTTTAAGCACTATCTGCACAAAACTACTAGGGAGAATTTATCCTGCATAAAGCTAAACATTGAACTGCATGAATTTCAAATTTCATATTTGTATGCTCTGTTCAGGTCCCATTTCTCTAGACTCTTTCAAAACTATGATGGAATTGAGAGGGAGTGAGAGTATCTTAGAATAGACAGAAATTTTGGCTAGCATGCAATTCCAATTAAAATGTAAATGTTTCAAAGAAAATTAAACTTCTTCAAGAAGTAATGCTCTGCTTAATCATCCTTTAAAGCACATATAAACCCTTTGAAAGAAGGCAAAAATTCTAGGAACCTTGAAACAGCTCCATACAGTTACTATGATGTACACCTGGGAGTGACTCATTTCTAGATTCTGGAACCTTAAAATACACCCCAACCACACACATATAATTTATGATATATGGAGACATACTGTGTTTTTTGAAAACAAGTAATTTTCTACTTTAGGACCAAGTAATTCTTTGCTCAAAGCGAGTGATAGAAAACTATTTAAGTCACATCACTTAATGTTGTTTTCTTTACGATGTGTTATGAAACATTTACTTCAAGTTTTTTTTTTTCTGTCACAAAAGACATTAGTAAAAGGATAAGTGTGAAAAGGAGGAGGGGTTAGGAGGAAGCAACATTAAAATGGTCCTGGATAAATGATATTTAACACTGACTAGATATTTAAAAATGCAAATGTGGACTGGTTATGTTGGTAACATAAAATAGGAAAATAATATTCTAGATGTTATTGATCCAGAGGGCAGAAGACAGACGCCATTCTGTGTGATTTTCACTATAACATTAACTGGAAAACTGCAATGCTAGGAAGTAGAAAAAAAATTCCTCAATTCTTATGAAGTCTTCAACTCTGAGCTCACCTTCATTTCTAGATAAAAAAAATATTTAGTAACATTTAAAAAAATAGAGATTTTACTTATCCAAGTCAAAATCTTGGGACACCTGTTTCATAAGGAATTTTACAAGACTTGCAACCTTGAACTTTATGGTTTTCACTTAACTTTTTTTTTTTTGTTTTATGGGAAGGGAATTGACACTGTGGAAAGAGTTTCTTTCTGGAACATATTGGAAAGTCCTGTTTCTAGTTCATTTGTAAGGAATAATTAATATGAGCAATATATTTATGAGTATTTTATTTAATCATATAAGAATGACTTTTAAAATTTTTATTATAGTACATACTTGTTAAAAATAATTTCAACTTTCCAAAGTTGTCTCTATGATAATACTTAAAAAAAATTGACCATCACTTGAAAAAAAAAACCTGTTTATTTGCAACCTCTATAGGAGATGTGTTTATTTCATATATATGGGATAATCATGTAGTAGTCCCTAATTTAGGTTTTCTCACTATGCTACATAGCATTTTTCATACTAGACATAAAACCATTTTTGTTAACAATATATGAACTTTATTTTCATCCTTGTGTAATTAGTCTTGCCAATCCACTAATTGATTATAAATTTTGTTATCTCAAAGTATTCTTCATCACCCCTTTGAATAGAAGATAATAATACTTGGAAAAATTTCAATATACTTGGTAATCTATCTGACACATATTGGGAATTTAGAACATTAGTGAATGGTAAATATTATTGATACTATTCTTCCCAGATTCATTTACCATTTGTTTGTTCTTTAGAAGTAAAATAAACCCTGAATGGTCTCTTATATATACTTTTTAATTTTTTTCCATAATTTCTTGTACTTCGGCATTTGTTTTAAGAAAGACTGGATGCCAGTTTATCTATAGATATTTCTTTGCAATAAACTTGAGTAGTTATCACAAAGATTCTGATTTATGTATCCTTACATGAGGAAAATCTGCAAATAATTGTTGTGGAGTAAAATTTAGATATGGAGATTAATAAATATTTCTATTGTAGACATATGGTACTTGTTCAGTCTCCTCTTAACCCTTATTTTCTTATTTACCAAATTCTTGTAATGCCAGATACTATGGTTTGCTGTGATAGTATTAAGAATTCTTTCATTCTGGAAATCATTACTACAAGTAGTAATAACATGTTTCTCTTCTTTTTTTATTTTGGGTAACATCTGGCTCCACTCAGGGCTTATACCTTGCTTGGTGCTGTGGATTGAATCATGGTGGGGCTTAGGAGTCTATATCTCAGATTGAACCTGAGTCATCCCCATATAAGGCAAGAGACTTACTTCTGGTAAAATAGAAAACTATTTCTCTGGACCAAAGGCCTTTTAAACAATTATTATTATTACTTTTTTATTTTAAGATGTTTGTGTGGTTGGAGATTTAAAAGATTTGTTGAGCTTTTAAAAAATCATTTTATTACTGTATCACTGTGAGTTATTTAGTTACAAAGTTGTTCATAATCCATTTTCAGTCACATAATGTTCCAACATCTATCCCTTCATCAGTGTCCTCAGTTTACCTCCAGTGTCCTCAGTTTACCTCCCTTATGCCTCTATGGCAGATATTCTTCTTCTCCTTCTTTTTCCCTCTCCTTCTCCTTCTGCTTCTCCTTCTCCTCCTCTTCCCTTCCCTCTCCCCTCCCAGCCCTCACCCCTTCCTCTCTGTTTCATTTTTCCTTTTTAGGCACTGTGGTTAGCAATAGTTACTGAAAGGGTATCACAGATACTACTTTACCTCTTTTCAGCACCCAGTTCTTATCCAGAGTAGTTATTTACAACTGTCAATGTTATTATGGTCTCTTTTTTTGTCATAATTGCATCCCCCTCCCCGTTTGTGTCAAGCTTCCTACCATGTACTAATCTCCCTTGGGTTTGTTCAGCATTTACGCCATTACAGGTAACTGAATTTTCCAAGAAGATGTGTCATTTGCTTCTAGGCGATGATATTTAAGTTGGGTTTATGAAATATGAAATCCACACTTTTTTTGACTTTAATTTTCTTAAGATTTAGGGTATTTAAAAAAAGAGGTATCACACATGGGAAGTATAAAGGTAAAGTCAGGGGCAATTTATTTCTGACAGTCCAAGGATAAGGACGGATGCATCCTGCTTACAGAAAACTGGTAATGTGTGTTTGCCTTTGCCTGAGCACATATTGGAGAAACACATTATTTAGCAAATCCCAGTGATTTCTGGTAAAAGTCCAACTGTGATTCCCAGCCTGGCTTGCTCTGCTGTGCTCAATTTAGGGTGGATTCATGTGTCATACAAGAGTGGGTGAGAAAAGGACGGTGCGACTTCTGGTTTCTGGTGGCTTTTATTTACCAATAGAGCCAGCAAATCTTTGAGGGAAACTGCAGATTATATCAAACACAGCCTGTCCCTAAAGACTTGGGTTTAATCGGATCAGTTGACTCTATTAAGTAATTCATCATTATCCTAAAGGACATTTGGTTAAACATTAAGAGTGTTGTTAGTAATTTCACAAAATCAAACACTTCCTACTCAGATAAAGTCTAATAATAAGGATGTTCATACTTACATAATGATTTTGCAGAACAAAATACCTTTTTAAAAACTCAAAAATAAATCACTCATTATTGAAGCTGCCCGCCTGTAGAACTTTTTAGCATCTCTCCTGCTTTGGGCTTTATTCATAATTCATTTAGAACCAGTCAGATTGGCACCTTGGACCTCTGTCCATTGCATGGAGTGATACAAACACATAGGAATTGTCCAAGCCTTGGAGGCACTGGAGCAGCCCCAGGAAACACACGAGCTGGACATTTATTTGATATAATATTGCTCCCCACCTTCATTTCTACAAGTGAGTTATTAAGTTGCCAGAGACATTAAGAACAGTTAGTAAGTACATCCAGATTCAATGTATA